TATTTCGCAGGCTCTCAGCACAGGGGCTGCTGCTGCGTGGCCCCCAGCCCCATGGCCCCCTGGCTCTCTTCAAGTAAGTCTTGCAGGGAGGGGATCCCAGCGCCAGCTTCTTCCCGTGTCCCGTGGGGCGATGAGTGAGCGGGGCTGGGAGCGGGGAGGGGAAGGTGTGCGAGACGCAGGAAGCAGCTTTAGCCGTACTCCCTTGTGTGGGCCTCCGATGAAGCCCTGTGCCACTCTGTGCCTCAGTTTCCCCATGCCCGTGGCCAGGCCAGGGCTCTTTCTGGGGGTGCCAGGATGAATGTGCCCAGAAGGGAGCAAGAGAGATTTTCGTTGCAGGAGGCTCCCATGCCCGCAGCCAGCAACACCTGGGACTGGCTAAGAGACAGAGATCCCCTGCTAAGAAGGGAAAATGTGAGGTCTCTGCCTGGATCTCCCACTTCCCCATAGCAAATGGCACCCAGCAGGCAGCCTCATGTGCCTGCCCCAGGTCGGTCTCACTCACAGGAGGCAGCAAATCTGGCTCATTCTGGCTTTAGCTATGGTTCCTAGATGTGGCCTGGCCGGCTCTCCCCAAGAACTGGGGCTTGGCTGGCACTGGCACGGGATAGAGCCATGGGTGGAACCAGTTGCATTGGCCAGCCAGTGTCCAGCTCCAGCTCCCTCGAGTCATAAGGCTCATGCCCAGCCAGAACCCACGGGATGTCTGGCCAGGTGGGGAAGCAATTCTCAAGTTGCCCTCATTTTGCAGCCGGACTCACACACCCGGGGCTCACCAGGTGCCCAGCTCTGGGCAATGGTGCCCACACACATGGTACCACAGGCCCCGAGCCCGCTGCCATGGGCTGGGAGCACTGGCAGGGCGTGAGAGCATGGGGACGCTGGGCTCTGCTTTCTCCTAATAGTGGAAGGGCAGGCAGGTGGTGGGGACTCCAGGGGTGGGCCAGCTGCCAATTCACACCCCACGTTGTAACTGGGGCTGTGTGCATGACCCCAAACCCCTTATTTCTGCTGTTTTTTGGGTCTGTCTCCTTTCTCCTGGCACAGGGTGAAAGCGGAAGGGACAAGAACCTAGTCCCCTCTCAACACCCCGAAACGCAGAAGAGTTTCTTGCCATCCTCAGGGATCTGAGCTCTTGTGGCTGCCGCTGACCCCATCCCCCCCCCTGAGGAGGTGGCTTTGCTGGAGCTGGGGAAGGTGGCCCTGGCCACTCCCCTGGACAAGGTGCCACCAGCCCCAGATGAACACCCAGGGGACCCTGATGCCACCCTGCCATGGGACCGGTGCCAGCACAGTGCCCGGGGCCAGCCAGAGCCCACAGAGATGAAAAGACACTCAAGTCCTGAAGGAGGCCGTGAAGACCCCGAGGAGGTGGCCCTCACCTGCCCCCCAGCTGAGGCTGAAGACGAGGAAGCCCCCGAGCTGCCCATGATGGGGGCCCACGTCTTTGTGCCCATCGACCCACAGTGCATTGAGCAGACACCCTGCAAGCAAAAGAAGGAACCTGCCCCATGGCCCCGGGAGGAGGGCAAGGAGGGCTACGTCCCTCACAGCGACAGACCCGACAGCCTTCGTCAGAAGCAGGTCTTCCTTCCTGTCGGCCCCTCGCGCTACAGGGACCCACTGGGCTTTGAGGGGCGAGCGACCAAGCCACTGACCGAGGGGCCGCGGTGCCCATGCGCCAGGGACTGCGGCACCGGCAGCCTCAAGGCAGTGGCCTCGGTGGTGGGGGCCCTGTTCCTCTGCCCCTGCCTCATCTACGGGGCCTACGTCTTCCTGCCTTTCGATGCCCCGCTGCTGCCCACCGTCAGCACCCGCCTGGTCTACACACTCCGCTGTGCCGCCTTTGCCACGTTCCCCATCGTTCTGGGTGAGCCATGGGGTTGGTGTACAAAGCCCTTTGCCCCCACTGCTGGGCTGCATTAACCCCGGGGGACTGGAGGCTGTTGGGAGTGGTGAGTAGAGCCGGGGCTGAGCTCTTTGTAGCTCCATTGCTCCCACCAGAAGCAGCAGATTGAGTTTTCCTATCCTCTTCCCACCCCGTTGCATCTCTCTCTCTGGTTTTCCCCCACCCCTCGGGCCCCAAGGCAGTTTCACGGGGCGCCTGCTCAGCCCCTCTCTCTGCCCCCCAGGGATGATCGTCAGCGGCATCTCCCGCCTCTGCTCCTCTGCACTGGAGCCCTTCGGGGATCTGCAGCGGGAGGTGGAGATCCACCGCACCTACGTCTCCCAGTCCGTCCATCTCTTCATCCTCTACTTCTTCAACATGGCTGTGCTGGCCACTTACCTCCCACAGGAGATCCTCAAGCTCATCCCCCTGCTCACGGGGCTTTTTGCCATCTCCCGGTAAGTGGCTCCTTTACCCTCCCTGCAGTGCCCAGAGTGCAAACGGGGTCTGTCAGTGCTGGCAGACACCACGCCTCAGAGCAAATTCCCACTCCGGCAGTGCCTCACGCAGCCGACGACAGCAAGGAAAGCCGGCACAGAGGAAGGGTTGCTCCATCCCTCATCCCGCTTCCCGCAGGAGCCGTGCCTGGCAAACCCTCGCTGGGGGTCAGAACCTCTGAGCAAAGCTGGGTGCCAGCCCCAAGGCATCACCCTCGCTGAGCCCACACCTCTCTGCCCTCTCCAGGTTGATCTACTGGCTCTCGTATGCCATCGGGCGCTCCTTCCGTGCCTTTGGCTTCAGCATGACCTTCCTGCCCCTCCTGGCCATGCTACTCTGGAACCTTTACAGCATGTTCGTCCTGGAGCCCGAAAACCTCCTTGCTGTGGCACCGCCAAAGCCCGAGGACCACTCCAAGGACAGTGGAGCCAAACTCCGGTACTGGGGGTAAAGGAAACCCTGGGGAAGATGGGGTGCCTGGACCCCGCAGTGCAGAGGGGTTGAGCCCTCCTCATTGCCCTGCCTTGTGAGCCCTGAAGGTGGAGGGGTGCAGGCAGTTCTGGCTGGGCCCCTGCTCCCTCCCCAGAGCCGGCAAGGTTTTGCGGGGTGCCTGGGGTTGATAGAGCTAAGCTGTAAAACCCTCTGCACTGGGAGTTTCCCGCAGGAGGGCAAACAGGGCCCAGAGCGAGACCCCATGAGCCCTGTTCCATGAGGATGGGTCGAGGTGGGATTTGCCTAACCTCCTGCTGGAGCTGGCTTTGCCCAATAAAGCCCTTCACCAAGTGGCTCTGTGGCTGGTTTGGGGAGGGTGGGTTAAATTCCCCTAGGAATCGCTGCTGCCAGGACTCGTAGCTTTGCCCACAGAATGCCACCATCCAGCCCCAAAATAATGTTTCCAAGAGGAGAAAAAAACCCAATGTTTCCCCAAGCTGTCCATCTCCCACTGCTGCAACAGCACCCCGGGCCCTGCATCCTGCTCCTGGGTTCCTGCATGGCGGTGTGGCCAGTCCCGCCCAGCTTGTTCCTCCTGGTGAAGGTTCAGCACCTGGTTCACAAACCAGCTGGCCGGGTAGGAGAGAGGGAACCCTGCCCCAGGGAGGGATGCGGGAGAAGCTGGGATGGGTGAGATGGCACCAGGCTTGCTGCTGCCTAGGGCTGGGGATCTCCGTCCCCCCCAAAGAACGGGCACCCAGCCTGCACCCCTCAGGGCACTGGGCCCCACCTCGGACTCCTTTGCAGACACAAAGGGACCCTTGGGAATCCAGCCCCATGCAAATCGGATTGTCTCAGTTCTCCGATTCTCAGGCATAACCCAAACCAGTTAAAGATCCACCTAGATCTGCCAAGTGTTTGGCTGGTCCTGCCTCCCATCCCTGCATCTTCCATCCTGGGAGCAGTTCCCCCACTGCAGCCCAACCGAGTCGGAGAATGGGAACAGTCTCGACTCTCAAATTAACTTCTCAGCAGGGATATGGTCCAAGGCCTGGGCTCACGCTGACCCCACGGCCCATAAGGAAAACACCCCAGAGCACCACACGCTGCTGTGGGGCACGAATCAATCCAGGGGCAGGGAGCTACCCTCCCCTCAGAGGCTGTTTTTGTGTTTTCGTACCTTGGCTCCTGCTGAGCTCCAGCACCCTTTAATTCCTGCGAGGCCCAAGAGAGCTGCTCTCCTTGCGCTTGTCCGTAGCGTAGTGTTTCCACAAGAAACTGCTCTTAGAAATCCACTTTATTTGGTCACAGACAAGTCAGTGATGGAGGACACAGAAACCCAGCACACCCTCAAGTGATGCAGTACCTCTGCACACACCGAGCAGCCACAGACCACGCTTGCCCCATGGCTTCAAGCACCTGGATAGCACCTCCGAGCCAGCCCTGCAAAGCCAGTGGCTGCAGTTAACCGAGAGCAAGGCTTAATGAGCCCTTTTTTGGGCTGACAGAAGGTACCTGAGAACTCAAGCAGCCACTGCAACGCAGGACTGGGTTTCCCTCTTGTACCAGCAGCCCTCATCGAGGCCAGCACAGCAGAAAGTGCCTGTTGGGGGTTAAGGAGTCCGTGAGCCCCAGCTGGGTTGAGAGGGGCTGTTCTGGGATGCCCCCAGCACAGCAAGAAGCAGCAAGGCACCCTGCACACGGGCAGGAGCAGTACCGGTCCCCAGCCCTGTCCTTCAGCCCTGCTCCTGGGTTGGAGACACCCAAACAGCCCTGGAGTGCTCTGGAAGCGGCACAGGACAGGGCACAGCCAGTCCCAGCTGTTGCTTGGCTGCAGACATGGTAACAGTGGTTTTATCCCTTGGGAGAAGGAGGATCTTTCCGCAGCTCAAGGCAACCCTGACCAGCTCCCCTCAGTCACTTCCCTTGGCTGGATGGATCAGGAAAAAAAACAGAGGAAGAAGTGTAATCAGATGCAGGATCTGGGCAGTAGGAGGGAGCAGGACAGAGAGACGGGCGACGTGGGCAACTGCTGCAGATGTTGCCCTTGTCCCCTCTGAGCCTGGACTGCAGGGACGGAGAGGAAGACAGAGAGGAGATTGCAGGCGTTGGAGTCCCTGCAGCAGCCACGGTCATTTTCTGGTGACAAGAAGGATCCTGGGGGTCTCTCCAGGGACCGTCCCGCTCAGTTGATGGGCTCGTACTCAGAGTAGCGTTTCCTCTGGGCAAAGAGGACCACGCAGCTGCCCACCAGGAGCATCAGCATGGGGGTACCCAGTGCCACAGCCATGATGGAGATGACGAGGGGGGAGAAGGTGTCCTGGGGGGGCTGCCCGAAGCCCAGCAGCGCTGACCTGCAGGAGGGGAGGAGACAAATCAGCCACAGAGATGGGGGATCAGCTGTGTCCCACAGGGTGGAATATCAGATTTCTTGGCAGGATCGAGAAATCTTGGCCGGATCAAGGTCAGATCAAGATTTCTTGGCAGGATCCCACATGGGGCAGGAGGGGGTCTCCCAGACTGGGGGAGGGGTAAGGGAGCACATCAATAAACTGCAAAACTCCTTGCTACAGGATCATAGGAAAATGCAGACTTTTGAAAGGAGATAGAAACCCTCTAACCTAGCAGTTCCCCAAACTGCAACTTATTAGTGGCTGGGAGAGCATCATTTCAGGCACAAAGGTCTCCTACTCACCAGCTAAGGTACCGCTTCTCCTGGTAAACCTTTCCATCCTCTCCTCCAAAAGAGATATTAATGGCGCTGACGGTGTAGGTGCTACCCACACCCTCCCCAAAGTAGGCATGGACAATGCTGGATGTGGGCAGGGTCCAGTTGGCTGTTTGCAGGCTGTGAGACCGGCACTGGATGCTGTCCTCACGCCTGGGGGTCCGGGAGCCGTAAGCTGTCGCCTTCCACTGCAGGAAGCTGAGCGTGGAGCTGTCATTTTGGGACTCGGCTACCAGGGAGAGCATCTGGTGGAGGGAGAGCAACGGGCAGTGAAGTGAAGGCAGGAGAGAGTCTTCATGCCAGGGTGAGCCGTAGTGGGGAACCACAGATTGCCCTCACCCTCATTTTGGGGGATATCCCCAACCTCACCCCACGCTCACCTCGAAGATGGTGGGAGTGTACTCATCGTCGATGGAGCGTGCTGAGCGCAGCTTCTCCACCACCCCCGTCTGCTCCACCGTGGCCACCTCCAGCACAAATCGGGAGCTGTTGCCCCGTGGAGCCACCCCAGCCAGGACAAACTCCACTTTAGAGCTGTTTTCCGTGTGCAGGAGGCTGGGCAGGGGCCCGTCACGGCCGCTGGCCTCGTAGGCTGTCACCTGCAGGGGACACAGGTCAGAGGAACAGCGTGATCACCGGTTGGGACACCAAGGAGCAGCGTTCCCTCTCCAGAAGGTGCTTTGGACATGATATTCGCTGTGTTCTCCCTATAGCATCCCACCGCTGTATATCCACCCTCTCTGTCCCTCTGGACTTACCCGAAACGCCAGGCTGCCGTTGGAGAAGCTGTCACTGGGGTCGGTGGCCGGGATGCCATTGAACTCGGCCGTCAGGGCCGTGTGGTTCAGGGTGTGATTGATGCTGCTCCAGGAAAAGTCAGACAGGTCGTACGTGGGGTAGAAGAGCTCTTCCGGTGTTTTGGCCTCGCTGTACTCAAACACCTAGGGAGAAGGAAGAGGAGAAGGGCTGGGAACCACTAGTAAGTGCTGTGGACACCACCGCTTCGTGCTATGGTCCATGGGCTGCTGGGCACCAGGCTGCCACTGCCACCAGGGAGAGCAAGGAGACCAAAAAGGAGCTGCCTTGGCCAAACAAGGCACCATCACAGATCAAGCCAGAGACAACCAGGGCAGGACACACAAGGGGCCATTTCGCTGCAGCTGGGAAAGCTGCCGACCGACGTGCTCTGCCCCAAGCAACCCCCCCGTGCCCCCTCCACTGTGGGGCTGCTCTCCCGGTGCCACCTTTCTGAGCGGTACCTTGGTGAAGACAACGGCAGCGGAGTAGACAACACTGCTGGGAGGATCGATCCAGATGGCACCCGAAGGAGCAGGCGAGAGCAACTGGGTCCAGTTGATGTGCAGGGTGCTGCTCCTGCTTTCCGTAGCCACCAGCAGCACCGCGGGGGCCCCAATGCTGCTCCAGACGTAGTGCAGGGTGTCACCGGGCCCCACCGCCCGCACGTGAAGCAGGTTGACAGAGGAGTTGTTCCAGCCAGGGTTGTACTGCATCGACACCTGCAGAGAAAGGGGAGAACTCAGGGGGGTTCAGCCCTCCCCAGCGCAGGACGCTTCCAGAGGCACAGCTTCTTGGTTACAGGCGAGGGCACGTGAGCTGCCTCGGCTTCCCGGTGAGCTTTGCAGGCGACGAAGCCCTGCCATGGCCCAAGCGTTGCCAAAGGAGCTCGGTCAGCATTTCAGATCCGGTTGTGTCGGAACAGCTTTCCGGTAGCGAACCACATTCCCTGCCCGCAGTCACGGGGCTCCCACCGGATCAGACCGCAGCG